AAGGTACTAAAAAGTACTAAATATTTTATTACGATGGAACAGGTAGGGATAAATATCTGAAATTTGGTATGTAACTTAAGCTATTACAAATAGAATAATGGGAAAACGTAGTTTTTGGAAATTATTACTAAAATGTTGAAAAAAGTATAGATAGTATATTACAATATAACCGACAGAGATAGAAATGTGAAACTGCGCATATTGCTTTAACTATTACAAATAGAATATTATGCTTAACATTTTTTTGGAAAGTAGTACTAAAGTGGTTATAAAAAGTACTAAATAATAAAATACAATGGAACTGGTGGAAATAGAAATCGGAAACTCAGTATGTAGCTTACTCTATTACAAATAGAATGATATGCATATTTCTTTCTTTAAATTATTACTAAATACTGTAGTATAATGGAACCGGAAGAAATAAAAATCTGAAACACGGTACGTATATCTATTACAAATACTTGCTAAAAAATAACATATTTTTGAAATCTATATGGGAAATTACAAAATTCTTTTAATATTCCATAAAAAAATTCATGATTTTTGGTACATAGGTTAACAAAAATATGCTGATTCGAAATATGTTCGCGTTCACAAATTCGGATGCTGCGCACAAAAGTTATAGCGATTTTAAATCTTGTATTTCAAATATAAATTAAATTAATTCCTATTTGTTGTAATTCGCGAATTTCGTCACAAATGGTAAAACACATTTGTTTTCTTTGCAGTACTAGTCAAATCACATTGAAATTTGGTTAAATTGTCGTGAAAAACAAATTGAAGCATGAAGCCATCTGAAAATAAAATAAATTAATTTTTTAATTAATCGAAATGTTTTTTTGAATTTTCGATTTTTTAGTATGGTTAAGGGAATACGGTTTTGCCTTAATCTTCTAAAATATGCGACGCTTTTTTCTTCAAATTCTTTTAGATGATTGTTAAATATTGGTATATTCGTCTGATAACAGTATCGACTGACTAAATATATTACAGTTACAATACAAAAAAATTATCAATATTGCAATTCGCGTATTGGTTGAAATCAGTTGATGCGCATGCGGTTTTCGTATAAACCGACTCAATACAAAAAGTTACAATACAAAAAAATTATCAATATTTAAAGGCATGCAATTCGCATATTGGCTGAAATCAGTTGATGCGCATGGGGTTTTCGTATAAACCGGCTCAATGTATTTTAATAATTATGAATTTTACGATTTTTAATTTAGCGGTCAAAGTGTGCCGCTCGATGCACTTTACTATGCAAAAACCCTAAAAATGGCTAAAAATCACGCAACGTGCATACGATTTTTATGCGCATCCTATTTCAGTAATCTCCTATGAAAATACACAAAAGGACACCTATTTTAAAAGGATAGGTTAAGAACCGCGGATGTGCCTCCACAATCGATTTTGGATAAAATACGCATAAATTTCGCGAATCGATATATTTTTGACCTATTTTCACACAGATTCGCGAATATGATAAGACAGGAATGAATGTATGTGAAATCAATTCGAAGAAAAACGCGATTATATACGCGAATTTGTCAAAATAAGTTTTTGCAGTTTTTCCCACATTCAAGGTACCTATATCCGCCGTTTTATTGGGAACTGAACACGGATGGGCTCATTAGATCCGGCACGTAAAAAAAAACTAAAATCACGCGGGGTTCCACGGAATTTGAATGGACTTTCTTAATTTTAGACTCAAAAATATGTTTTTTATAAAAATTTACGCACCAAATTTCGTCTTTGGAACCCAATTGCAGAGAAGCTACGGTGAGCACATTCATGAGATATACACTAAAGGACGCAAAATCACGAGTTCTATAATCCTATAATCAGTTTAATCCATTTTCTGGATGCGCATCCTAATTATAAGAAAAATTCAAAAAACACCGAAAATCCGGCTTCAAAATGTCAGCATCCTTTTTGGGTGGAAGCAGTGATTATATCGAAAAATTATACATTAGAACCATATTGTCCATGGGGTATTCTGCAACTTAGTCACTGATCACATATGCGTGCGTTGTGTAGTTTAGCCGCAAATCAGGAACGAACACAAAAAAACTCGTTGGCTTCAACACATTTTCACCCATTTTTTACATTACCACCATCACAGCTTCCACCAAACTTATTATTTATTACCAATATTTTAAGATTTTGACAAGAACACTTCATTTTATAGAAATGAATTTAAATTAATTAAATGAATTAAAATTAAACCTTGCAAACCTGAGCTACAAGGAATTTAAAAGATTTTTGTAATTTCTCATATGTAAATTTAAAGTACAAAAAGTGTAATACTGAAATTCGGTATGTAGCTTTGTATATTTTAAAAAGTGGAATACGCCAAAACTTTGTAAATTGTACTTAACGGTACTAATAAGTATTAAATATTGTGTACGGTAGAACCGATAAATATAGGAACCTGTTATAAAATACTTATCTGGAACTATGACAATAAACCTTTATGCATAAATAATTTCCAGAAAAAAGTTCTAAAATGTACAACATATTGTATACTGAGGTACGGGTGGATATAGAAATTGGTACAAGGTTTTTTATGAAAAGCAATGCTTTTCACAATGTTGTTTGACATTTGTACTTAAAGTACTAAATATTGTATAAGACATAATGAGTAGAGTTAGACTCCTGAAATTGTGTATGTATATTTAGATATAACAAATTCAAAAATATATATTTCTTTTTTTTTTTTTGAAAAATTGTGCTTGAAATAAATAAATAGGAAATAAAGACAGATATCCAAATTTTAGTATTTATCTTTGACTATGGCAAATAAAGTGTTTTATGAAAATATTATTTGAAAAATTTTAATAACAATTTCTGACTGTTACATGAAATATAGTTTCCAATCCCACATCGATCTATACTACTTATGTGAATTTTAATTATTTTCCCCATATTTCGCAAAATTGTGTAACTTTATCAGGAAGGAAACCATATATCAAAGCTTTTAGTCAATATAATTAAAAGCGTAATTTTTTTCCTATATCGAAAATTATCAATTGAAATTGTTACCTATATATGCACCAAATTAACATTAACGTTATTTGCAATTTCTAAAAATTGATTACTTAAATTAGAATTTAAATAATGATCGGTTAATACTTAGGGAATAAAATGGACCAAAAAGTTGTTTGGTCCTTCTGGAGGCCACAATTTTGAGACGAACATCAAAGAGAGGGTATGCCTGAATAAGAATGACTATTTTGATGAAGATCGTTCAATAGCGGGTTGAATGGACCCAGACATTTGTGTCAATAATGACAAAGAGGAGTGGTGGTTGTAGGTGCTTGAATGGTGTGTCTACGTATTTTGATTAGGTTAGTATTACCATTACCACACTAGAGAGCGGACATGTAGCTCTGGTGGCTATGAAATTTTACATGATATTCCGGCAATGTCAACAGATGATATTTAGGGGATGAAATGGATCAAAACTTTGTTTCTGTATAGTTTCCTAGTCGCTATTGAAGCCACTATTGTAAGCCGAACATCACAAGTTTTACACGGGAAAGGGTTTAGGGTCAAGTGAACCAAGACCTTGATGTGTGAAATGTCCAAAATGTTTACTCTGGGGAAACAGGATTTGGAAAATAAGGGGAATTGTTGACCTCTAATCAATTAAAAAAGTGCAAACATCGGGAAGTATCGCAAGGCCCAGAATATAGATCTGCAGAAAATTAAAGTCCGATGGTAGGTGTATCGTCCTACAATATTGCTCCGCTCACTGGTTATATATGGATTTATTTATTTCATACATTCCCTGCCGACTTTAACGTCAACGGTGCATCGCCAATAAAGCCCGTTCCTCGACACCTTATGTTAAAAATATTAGGTTGGGGAAAAAGAAATCCCTTATTTGTTCGGCAGATTGCTGTACCGATAGATTTCTCGTAAAGTATCGCTCAAACAATTTCAGATTTATGCTCGTTGGGAGGGTGACATTTCGCAGTTTGCTGTGATTTGTAGTTTTTTGTTTGGTTCAATCAGTTGTGAGTTCTACAGTTTTTCATTGACAAAGGTTAAAATGCAAGGCAAGCGGCTAAAATGTTGAATGGTGTTTATGGTTCCGATACTGTAACAGCCAATTATGTGCAATTTTGGTTTCGTACATTCCGTTCAGGAATTTTTGATGTTAAAGATGCAGCCGGAGAAATTATCGAAGGAGCTAATCGAAGGAATTATCGAAGGAGCTAATTAATCGACTGTATTAACCATTTACACAAATAATAATAACAATGGATTTCTTTTTCCCCATAATATTATGTTTATGTTAAGACCACCTAAATGTATATGTAATTTTTTGGCGGGACTTTCATATGGACCTATATTGATAATGCTTTGCAAGTATGATTTTCACTTCAGAAGAATCTGGCATGTTAAATTACAGATATATCGTTTGAAAAAAAATGACTATATCCAACTTCAATACCAAATTGTGGAAATTTCATTGACATGGCATATAATTATATTCTTTGTGGTTCATTGCAGAATATTTCTATACGATGTAAATAACACTAACAATCGAGACAGTAAATGAGGGATGAAACAAGAGCATGTGACGGTACAGTTATGTGGGGGCTATTCCATAACGTGGATCAATATAAAGGACTATCCTAAATATAACATGCTCTATTGTGGTATCATAAGACAATCAGAACAAAATAAACATTAAATTTTACTCTAAATGACAAATTCAATGTGCAAACCATTTAGAATAGGGTATATAAATCGCACATGTTTTATTTAGGCACATTGTTTTTTTTCTGATCGCACTCAAACGTCAAATCGGCACTAGTTTAATAGTATATAGCACTAAATATTCAGATTAACTGTATTTCCATATGCAGTTACTTGTTCTATCAGCATGTGTACGATTTTTTGTACTCTTTGAATTGATTTCAATTTATTTATACCGAGTTTTTTGTTTTTGTTTCGTATTTGCAGTGAATGTCGCCATCATTGTATTGCAGTTGGAGAGTTTCGTGTGTTTAGCAACGTGAAATGTACAATACCTGGTTAGTCATTGCATCAATTACAATTGTCGGATGCTTATGGAATTCGAAACTATCTGAGTCATCATCGAAATCATGCCCAACTGAGTGCATCTGCTTATCCCAGACACAAGTGAGTACCCAAACTGTCCAAAACTGCTTCGCTTTATGGTCAGCACAATTGTCACCATCAGCAACAGTCGCAGAACTACAATAGCAACGCAAAACCTAGTCCGGCTATGGCACTACGCCTATAGCGGGATTCTGCTGCAGTGTTTTTGAAATTAAAATTGAATGGACAACTTTTAGTTCCAAATTGGAGAACTGCAATGGCAGACACAAAAACGTCAACAAAATAACACTAATGACTGTAAGGTCAGCGAACGAACCCAAGGCGTGGAGACGTGGAGCGGGGCGAAGAGAAAGAAAATAGAAAAACAAATATTTGTTATTAGCGAAGAAAGTAACTGGCCGGGAAGTCAAGTGACGGAAACAGACAATGATATATAAGAAAACTTTTAACTTTGCAAAACAAAACAACACAAAACAAGAGACCAAAGCCGGAGTCGGAGCCAGAGCCAAAGGAATAATACCATTGTTTTGTACGCTGACGCTATTGGTTGGCATTACTGGGGAGAGTGTGGTGCCGAATTAGCGTACCCAGACAACACTCTATGCATAAAAATGTTAAATTCCATTATATTTGCAGCCAATGTCCTCAGGACGAGGACAATGGAATAAACTGTCGCTGCCGTTGCCTCATTTCAATGATGATTTCTGTTTTCTTGTGTCCCATGATTTTGGGGTTATGCTGGTAGCATTTGCATATTAAATAGGAATTGTAATAGAAATCACAGTCATGTACTGGCATGTTAAATGGTGCCGCTGATGTGAATTCTTTTAACAATAAAACCGTTAGCGGCATCAAATGATTAGAAAAGAAACGCATTCGTTAGGCCGTCATGGAAGCATTATTTTCTATGTTTTCTATACAATGTGCAATTGATTGGCTCTTTCGAAGACTTAAAAATAATAGTTTAGAAAGGAACTTTAAATCTGCAATTATATGACAAAAATCTCGAAAAATATAGAGAAAGTTTATTAATCGTAACTACCTTGTATAAATTTGTTCACCAAGGGGTATGGTAGGGAAGACTATAGTTTCGGTTTTCGCCACTGATCCCCATCAGTTCCCCTGTCTTTCTGGTAGGGATATTCTCCCCAGAAGCTACATTTTTACAAAAGAAATCTCTTTTTATTCAATGCGACATGTAACGTTGTGATATCTTTAGGTAACCATCATGGTTACATTAATTTTTATACACTTCACCACACTGTGGTACAGGCAAAATGAAACGAGATAGACACATGGTTTCTTTTGAGAAAATGCATAGAATCACTTTCTGAGTCGATTCATGCATGTCCGTCCTTCCGTCTGCAGATGTTAAATTGTAAACAAAGTACAGGTCGCATTTATGATTCGAATTGGATGAAAGGATGAACCCTATTGAAATTGGGAAAAAGGGGTCAGATTTAGATATAGCTCCCATATATATTTTCCTCCGATTTAAGGTAAATGGTGTACCAAAGTCCCTATATATCTTTTGATTTGCACGAAATTTGACGCAGCATAATGAATGAGGTCTTGAATGACGTGTGTTAAGTTTCGTGAAAATTGGTTCAGATTTAGATATTGCTCCCATATATATCTTCGTCCGATTTAAGGTAAATGGTGTACCAAAGTCCCTGGAAATTTTTTGATTTGCAAAAATTTTGGCCCAGCGTAATGAATTAAGTCTAAAATGATGTGGCGCAAAGTTTCGTGAGAATCAGTTCACATTTAGATATAGCTCTCACATATATTTTCATCCGATTTAGGGTAATTGGTGCACCAAAGACCCTATATATCTTTCTTTGCACGAAATTCTATAATAATGTGTGCTAATTTTCATGAAAATCGGTTGAGATTTAGATATAGCTCCCATATATAGTTTCACCCGATTTTAGGTAAATGGTGCACCAAAGTCCCTGGAAATCTTTTCATTTGCACGAATTTTGGCATAGCGTACTGAATTAAGTATAGAATGATGATTTCCCTGAAATCGGTTCAGATATAGATATATAAGAAAATCGTGATGTCTGTTAGGGTACATATGTAGAATATACCCAAAGTGGTGAATGGTATCATATAGTCGGCCCAGTCCGACTTTACTACTTTCCTTAATGATAAGTGTTTCCTTACTAAAAAAATCATGCAATACTGATTACCAGATCGTTTCCATAATAACAAAACAAATCTTTACCACTTTTATACTAAATTTCGTCACAATTGACCCTTTATTGAGATCTGTGTTTTTATAAATCTTTACAATGGACCAATCGGCAGGACCGACTATATGATACCCTTCACCACTTTGGGTATATCCAACAGATGGAATCCTAACAGACGTCGCATTTTTGAAGGACCATTAACATGAAATTAAACATGTCATTCTGCAACCTATGTTGCTCTTACAATGGGACAACATTATGTAATTTAAAGCAAAATATCGAAATCTAAACCGGGTTCGGTGAAACTTGTCACAGGTTAGGTTATACTGATATCAACTCTTGATAATTTGAGTTCATGGTACATCATTTACTTAAAATATGGAGAAAATATATATGGGAGATCTATCCAAATATGAACCAATTTTACCAAAACTTTCCACACCCTAGGTTATATTAACTTCAGTACGTTGTGCAAAATTTTTAAGCAAACGACCTAACTTTGGGTCTTTTACTTAAAATCGTACGAAACTATATAGGAGCTATATCTAAATCAGAACCAATTTCAACAAAACTTGCCACACGTTATGTTATAGTAACATCAGTACGTTGTGCAAAATTTTGTGCCAATCGGACCCACCTGGGGACTTCGGTGCAGCATTTATATCTAACTTCTAGGTTATACTAACTTCAGTACGTTGCACTATAGGTAATTTGGACAGTTTTAGGCCAAAAGTAATGTTTTAAACTTTGGAAAATAATATCATTTTGGATGGCAATAAAAAGGTAACATGTAAAAATTTATGATTCTGTAAGATTTTTTGCGTAAAAGTGTCTTAAAAGCGGTGGAAAGCGTAGCCAAACTCTACACTTTGAAAATAAACTTAAGTAAACAAAAGAAAAAAAATTTAAGGGAACCCCCCATTCTCGGGGTCAAAAATTTTTTGATTTAATTCGAATCTACACTAAGTCAAGAATGACCCTACAAAATTTCAAGTGAAAATCTCAAGAACTCTTGAAGATATAGCCGATTTATTGTGTCAGCATCAAGTGACGGCTAAAGGGCTTCTCAAACTTTAAACGCGTTTTTCTCTTTTGCGAATGGCGGGCACGATAACTCAAAAACTAATAACCCAATAGATTCCAAATTTTTACACGTTTCTCTGTGAGTGTATAGATATCGTATGAACTAGGATAAAGCCAATCGGTGAAGATCTTCCTTATTTTTTAACTTGATTTTTGGTCAAAAATCGGCGATTTTCCAAAAATATTTTTTCAAAGGTCCGCCATTTTGTTAATTTTTAGAGCGATGTCAATAATCCTAGTTCATACGAGAGCCAGACATGTACTCTTTCTAACACCGTTGGAATTTTCGGATTCCGATGTTCCAGCGAGGAGTTATCATGCCCGCCATCAAAAATAAGGACTTTTCTTTAATCACAAAAAAACAACAACAACAATTTTTTCATTTTTCTTCCTTTTTAAATCTTCAAATATATATAAGTTACAAACCTTAACAAGCATTGGTATTCATTTACCAGCCCATTTAAAATCTTAAAAATAAAAAATCGAGAATGGTGGGGTTTCCTTAAATCAAGGCGTATTTTAAAACGTTTAAAAGCGCGAAATACAAAGCATAAAGATAAAAATTAAACATGGAGAGTATCAAAAATTAACTTGTTTTAGCAATGATTAACCCTTTGTGGCCCAATGTTGCCCACAGGCAACAAAATGTTTTAGAGCTTATATGTAATATGTAGCTAGTAGATATATATTCTTTGGATTTCATACGTCAAGACCTAATTATGGACGACACATATCAAAAGAAAAATCTAAAAAAATCAATTTTTTGTTAAAGTTACGAGCTTTTAAATATAGAGAAGAGGGCAAAAATGTGTACAGTACTAATTTGTGTATACAGTCCAAATTATTTAAATCGCTTCGTATTCGAAATGTAAGATTTCTGCCTTCAGAATTATTTTTGATTCTTGTAAAACGGAATATAGAGAATATTTTAAAATGATTTTTTCGTCGATTTTTCATTTGGTTTTCTTGATATTGGGCTTTTATTTTTCAGAAAGAATGTACTGTATCTCCCGAATGCAAGGATGTAGCAATGTAAAATTTTGTCCATATCCTATCTTGGGTAGTTGCATTAAATCAGTGAACAGAAAATTGTTCTATGATTACGGAAAAAAATTCGGGGCTCAAAGGGTTAAAAATAAAATATTGACATATGAAAAAAATGTTGTTCAGTATCCAGTGTTTACTATAATCGCGTTCGCTTGTAGTAAGCATGGTTTTATCTCACTTTTACATATTAATAACATTAAAGAGTATAAATGGGTACTGAATTAATTATTATTAATGCATTCTGCAAAAATATACAACATTGTAATAATTATTCCTTTAAAAATCTAATCGCGGAGTCGAAATTTTTTTAACTCACTACCCTAATTGTTTTCAACCGTTTGTTGTGTTTAAGAAAACTAATGAAAATATCCGAGAAAGAATTAGCATTGTTTGTTATATGTGTAGTTGCTTATAACCGTTGTTCGTTATATCCAGTTTCTACTGTGGAAATCTGCGTTCATTGTACAAAATTGTGTGACAATCGGTCAAACTTTGGGTTTTTAGTAACAATTTACATAAAATCGGAAGAAAACAAATATATAGGAGCTATATCTAAATCTGAACCGATTATCACGAAACTTAGCACATATCGTTCTAGACCTAATTCATTACGATATGCCAAATTTTGGTGCACCATTTATATTAAATCGGACGGATGGACGGACATGCATAAATCGACTTAGAAAGAGATTCTATGCATATTCTCAAAAGAAACCGTGTGTCTATCTCGTTTCCATTTGCATGTTACAAACATATGCACAAAGATATAATACTCTGTACCACAATGTGGTGAAAGTATAAAAACGACTTCTATGATCAAGACTCCGTGTTACAAAGTGTTAAATAAAAATTTAAATGCATGAGTGCATTCGAAATATGGGAATATGGGAACTATGTTATTATATTATGTGGTTGTTCATGCTCTGTAAAATAGGTTTGCAACTACAGACGGTGAAAAACTGTATATCAGTCCTCCAGAACCATTTATGCAGGTAAAGCTTTCAAAATATCGAAAATTGATCGGTGCCCAGTTATAACTCAAATTTAAAATTGCAGCTGATGGTAAAGAACGTGCCCAAGGGATAGCCAAAATTGCTAATATCCTAGGAGTTCAACTTCAAATATTCTAGGAGTAATTGCTATCTATGTGCAAAGTCAATATTAAAAATCGTGAGTTCTATTGCGATTCATTAAGACATTCATAGGCACCAAAGCCTAACAATTGTTATTAAATGAGCATCACAGATTTTGCAGTGATATATGGGGTGCTTCATTGTCGTACAAAGATGGTCATTTATTTGGCAAATTGCTTTTTTTAAGTCACTCTAAACAACAGAGCTCATGAAGGTACGTTAGTCCATACTGATTACGTTTATGCTAAAACATTTCAAACTTCTATTGTCTAGGCCAGAAATATATATAGTAAAATCACGTTTTACCGTATAAAGATATTAAGACTCAAGAATCATTAACACTACGGTCAATAACCAAAACTGTATACGTAGATCAATAACCGTGGTACATTTGTACCCACCCAAAGATAGCGCTGTAATTTATTAAAATATCAGACTATCGTCCGGTTTTTGGTTTTAAATTAGTCTATATGGATCTGATCTAGATGTAGGAACTAAAAATTATATATACATTAAAATAATATATTATTTAATCCATGCTTAAATGATAATCTATCTTAAACAATCAGTGTAAATTCGTTATGTCTTTTGAATGGGTTAAGCTTTTCCAATTATTTTTTATTGGGATATTATTTAGGTGTTCCCCAACCCCTCTGCTTTCCTTTTCATTGCAACTCCGATCATGTAGCTCATCTCGAAAGAGAAATTAAAAAAAAATAATTGTTTTAGTCCCAGTATACCAAAGGAAAGCCATTTAGTTTCTGATTTCCACGAGTCGCCGTGATGTCCCCATGTTTTCTAGGGCCATAAAAATTCGTAGAGGGGTTGGGGAACACCTTCACCACTTTGGGTATATTCTAAAAGACGTCGCCTTTTTGAAGGAATTTTGACATGAAATTGAACGAACTCAAATATGTGATTTTTATGTCTTTCTGGAACCTATGCTAAATTGCATTTCATTTGGGCAAGCTGCACTGTTTAAAATTTAATCTCAATAAATAAGTCGAAATTATATATGGAAGCTACGAGATATCTATATCTGAACCGATTTGAAGCAAACTTGCCAGAGATTAATTTATATTAATTTTAATACTTTGTGTCAATCGGCCTAGCTGTGGATCTTTAGTGCACAATTTACTTAAAATCGGACGAAAATATATATAGGAGGAGTACACATCATTCTAGACTTAATTCAATACGCTATGCCAAAATTCGTGCAAATCGAATGATTTTCAGAGACTTTGGTGCACCATATAAATAAAATCGGACGAAACTATGTATGGAAGCTATATCTAAATCTGAACCGATTTTCACGAAACTTAGCACACATCTTTCTAGACTTAATACGCTATACCAAAATTCATGCCAATCAAAAGATTAGCAGGAACTTTGGTGCACCATTTACCTAAAATCGGGCGAAACTATATATGGAAGCTATATCTAAATCTGAACCGATTTTCACGAAACTTAGCACACGTCATTCTAGACTAAATTCAATATGCTGTACCAAATTTCGTGCAAATCGAAAGATATATAGGGACATTGGTGGACCATTTACCTAAAATCGGGCGAAACTATATATGGGAGCTATATATAAATCTGAACCGATTTTCAAGAAACTTAGCACAAGTCAATCTTGACGTAATTCAATTCATGGGTCTATCTCGACTATTTTTGCCTGTTACAAACATATGCACAAAGACATAATACCCTGTACCACTGTGTGGTGAAGGGTATAAAATGGTACAAATGTACCCGGTTATTGACCGTAGGGTTAAGACTCACCGACGGATAGAAACTATTTTAATGAAATATTTCCCATTTTGTGAAATTGTTATCCAAGTTACGACATTTTTATAGATTAAAACTTACATCATAAGCGATTCATCATTTCAATAACATGACGATGATAGGGGACACATCAATGGAATGCTCTGCTATGAAAAATACATAAACTAAATAAGAGGGTCACTTTAAAATGCTCGGCTGCAACTTTAAAACGTCAGTAATTTTTCCACAAATTGATTTTCAAATCTCACTTTTTTAGCTCCGGGTGGCTCTCCTCCCTAACCTATACAAATATATAATTTTTACTTGTAAGAACTTGTTCACTTTTCCACCTAAACGCGACTAGCGGGACGATGTCAGGCGTACAAGAATTAATGAAACATCCTCCAGCAAAAAAGAGAACTCAAAGGGGACATGCTAATGCCATATTCAGATACACCGTTAAAAGGTAGAAACTTTGTTCATTGTGACGGCTCTAAAAGAATATACAACACGCAGGCAAAACGGAAATCCTGGACAAAGGGAACAGGAGCAATAGCATATCTAACAACCACTGAAAAAATATATAAAAACAAAACGAAAAAAAATATTCGATTTAATTTAATTTTCAGTAATAACCACGTAGATTCAATTTACCGGCGGTTATAAAAACCTTCAGACACACAAACAACAATAAGAACAACATGACCATAGTGGGCTACGCCACCGTAACGGAATGACCTTCATTGTATGGTGAAATCATTAGAATAAATTTACAGAAATCTTCATCTTTGTAGTAACTTACCCCAAGTTGCTGCAAGCGTTGCTATTGTAGTTGTTGTAGCTGGTTTCATGTAACGGTTGCTTTGTTCTTGTTCTTAGCAACCCAAATGATTTCTTCTTTTTCGTCTGCTTCTTCTTTTCTCTTTTTTATCGACTGTAGGTACTTTGCAATACTGGTGGACTTGAGAAGATTCCATTGCGACAATTACCCCCCACCGTTGAAAATCTCGCATTGACCAAAAACAATTTTCCGGTCATAAAGCCCGATTCATTTGCAGGATTACGAGCACTGAAGAAACTTTCGCTAGACGGCAATAATATAACCAAAGTCAAACAGTTTGCATTTCGTGGCCTGCCACGGCTCAAGGAGTTGTCAATTCAGTATACGCCCCTGCAATCGGTTACATCATTTGCATTTGCTGGACTCCAGAATCTTTCGACGATTCTACTAAGTCACAATCAGATTTCACGCATCGAAACACATGCATTTGCTGGAACATCCAATGTTAAGCTGATACTCTTGAGCAACAACCCCCTCATCAAGATAGACACATCGGCCTTCTCGAGTCTAACTAATGTGGGGCATGTCATATTCCCCTCGGGCATACGCACTATCGAACCGGATGCATTTAACGGCATGGACACAGTGGGCTTACTCAAACTAGCCTATATGGATTTGAAGGAGGTGCAACCGTTCACATTTCGTGGCCTCACAAATGTCCTGCTTTTGACGCTACAAGAATCTGACCTGGGAGTTATCTGTACCGATGCCTTTACTGGTCTATCCCAGGTGGAAACACTGCAAATACTCAACAATAAAATCGATGCCATAGAGGAGCTGAATTTCACCTACACTGCCAACATAAAACATCTGAAAATGCATGGCAATCACATACTGGAGACACCTGACCCAAATGGGATAATTGTCGACGGCGTGGAACATCTGCAGCTGATAAATAATCATTTTCCTTGTGGTTGCCACATTCACACCCTGCTCGACGGGCCACTGGTGGAGGGCGCTCACAATCTCACAGAATTCCTACAGAAAAACTATTGTATATCACCGTTGGACGTGAATGGCCGTGCAATGATTGAGCTTGATATAGACTCGATTGGCCGTTGCCAGGACCAGTTGACAAAGGGCAACCTGGGGTCATCGGCCCCCTCAATGGCCCTAAGCATGTACACTCTTGTGCTGATATCGCTTACAACGAATCGTTTTGTGAAATACCTTGTGTTCTTGTTAGTCCTTGGGTCCATTACCGTGCCACATGACACATTTAGTTGAATGCGGCGGCGACCATTAAAGTTGTACCCAACATTTAGTCTGAAATCTCTCTAAGAACCACAAAGCAAGTATCTGTAGTTTTATATGACGAATACCGATATTAATCCTATTTAGTTGTAAGTAGTAAAAAGTTTACAATTATATACATAAACTAGTTATTCGACAAACAAAAGTTTTTGGGATGCTAAGGATTTCGAACAAAAAATACACACTTAATTTGGCAACTTATTTATTTTCTGTTACGATCCCTGTAAATATTACATAAAACCAACAAAAATATATGTTCGAAGATGTGCTTTGTAGGATATCAGTTTGTTATTTGTTTGCCTTAATGCCATCATCATTAGGCTATACTTTCACTAATGCTATAAACCCTTATAATCTTGGAAACACATACAAACACTCAAAGGTCCTTTCTGTAAATAGTTTGCATTAAATATCTATAATTATTATTCGCTTAGCTATTGAAATCATTTTGGGAATTATAAAATTTATTTTATACATCAAACTGGAATTGTTAAGCCTTTCGATTAATAAATAATAAACTTAAAGGAAATGTTCAAACAATATTCACAAACAAAACATGCACATACAGTAGTGGACTAAAGTGTCTACATAATTACAAATTCTTAAAACAGCCTTAATTACTTGTGATCGGTTTGCTATATCGACACCGATATCAGGAGAGTATTTAAGAAAAAAATAAAAACTTTCTTCAAGAAATATTCAAAATGCATATAAAGAGTTTTGAAAACCCATTTACCCAGTTTGTCCATTTTTATACTCTACACAACTATGTTGTCAGGGTATTATAGCTTTGTGCAGCCCAAAAGTTTGTAACGCCGCGAAATATTGGTCCTACACCCACCTTTAAGTATACCGATCATATAATATCTCGACTAGCTGATTCGATCTGGACATGTGTGCCTGTCCATTATAAATTGTAAACACGTTACAGGCCACAGTTATTGACCTATTGGCATGTAGGATGGGTTCTGGCCAATGAAGACCTCTAGTGTTTTTGGTAAAGATCGGGTTATATTTAGGGGATGAAATGGACCATATACTTACTTTTTGTCCGTATTTCTGGTCGCTCCAGAGGCCGCAATTATGGCCCGACCGTCGCGAAGTTTTACATGGAGAAAGGGATCGGGCTAAATATTTAGCGGGTCAAATGGACCCTGATTTTTGTGTGAAAAATTACAAAATTTGTATTCTATGGCATATATATTTGCCCCTGAAGGACATAGACCCGAGCAGTTGACAGTATATCCAAGAGGAGTGGTTGACCTTTAAATTGATACAATTATATTGTCATATGTACTCAGATGTGGGATTTGCACTTAAATATTTACAGGTGCTTACGTATTCAGATATCATTTAGTAACCCATAACCACACTAGAGGGCGGAAATATAGCGCTGATCGTTTTGAAATGTTCCATGAGGTTCCAGTTATAGTCAAGGCCAACGCCTATAATTTTCGGTGATGTTGAGATTATAATTTTGGTATTAAGTGGACCGAAAACTTAATTTTTTGAGTTTTTTTTCGAGTCGATATATAGGCCACAATTATAAGACGGACATCACAACACAACCCACGGGGAATGGAATATGGACATGTACCGAATATTAGAACTATTCGGAAAATATGTCAGTGTAAGGAAGAGCTGTTAATCTCTAATCGGACAAGAGGGTGGAAATATTACCAAATATTGCCCAAGCTCGGAATAAAAATCCGCAGAAAGTTAGATTCGCGTGGTAGTTGTGTTGGGTATCGTATGGTCGGCCCCGCCCGACTATACTGCTCCGCTCACTGGTTATCTTTTGATTAAATATTCCCCGTCCGATTTAATTTTTTTCTGGAATTATGAGTTTTAGTAGGAGGTATTATGGTTACTTGATGGGAATCGGTTCATAGTTAAAGTATTAGAGATTATGAAAAAGGAACAATATCGATTTATTGTGGAAATATTTTTGCCATTTTATGTTATAAAGTGTGCTTGGCCTACAAAATAAATAAATTTTCCGCAAGATGTGGTTACTAATCACATTGCTAAAATTTTTCAAAACTAGTTTTGCGGAACATTAATTTCAGATCTGAAGGAGCCAGCTCCGAGCCCTACTTCGTTCCTCTCATGAATGAGAATTTTACTTTTTTCATTCAAATAATTAGATTTCCATACCCTTAAGTTTCGATTTAGGCATGCCCGTTTGTCTACTAAAATCCCGATAGAGTTCGCGACCTTTAAAATGAAGCATTAAAATTGTATACATACATTATACATATGGTATTGAAAATGGAATATATCCGGTCATTTTGGTATAGCCCCCATGTAAAGATACCAAATTATTTTGGGTATTTTGAAGGTTCTAGCCTCATTTTCGAAACGGCGTTGCTGTAATTTAGCATTACATGTTTCCATTCTTAAGCCCTCATATACACATTTAGTTTTCCCAATTATAGTTTTCTTGATAGTCCTAAACGCATATAAAATAACTATTATTTGGTGTGTAAAAAACTTCTTCGCAAAGAATTTCCTATAAAGGCCAATTATAAGGATCATGTAATGAAATATCATCCACAAAAAGTACTTCCTAAATTCTGCTATAGTTTTTCTAATACTCACTATTGTTATATTTAGTATGGACATAAAACCACATGTATATTAGAACATTTTTATGATTTCTTTATAAAGAAGTTATTCGCGTTTCAAATTGAAAATCTATGAAACCGCGTTTTTCTCTACATTTACCGTTATAAAATTAATTTTTGAAGTGAAGTGGTCCAGGGACTCCAACTAAACAGAATTGGTAAATTAGAACCTCTGAATAATTTTCGTGTCGCACAGTGTTATTAGTGCTTTGATTTGTTATTCGTTCTACGATCAATGTAGTATATGTGCAAAATCACATGTTATTTGCACTGTTGGAGCGTTTTAGGTGCTGATGAGACCGATTTATATTAAGAACAAATTTATCATTTATTTCAACTAAACATTACAATCTAAATCTAAATAAATACCAACTTAACAATGCATTACGGTTTCATGCTACCATACCGTGTGGGAGCAAGAAAACCATACAAAATTCCAAGCCAACACAAAAAAAATCCCTGATTTAATCAATATTACTGCCGGATAGGCCTGAATATATATTCGAATGGTAAAAAATGGTAATATATATTTTTTGTACATGCTATTTTCTAGGAATACTTAAACGTCATATCCTTATTGGGTTGTCATCAACTCTAAATATTCATATGAACGAGTTGTTGTCTTGTTATCTTTTGAATATTATTTTTCATTTCACAAAGCAAAAAAAAAAAAACAAAAAAAAAAAACAGATATTCAACCACATCTGCAATACGTTCCACATATTTTGCAATTGTTCCATGGTCATTGATATTGAAATCATGTATGATGGTATTCAATTCCATTGTTTTGTGAAACGTTTCGTATCAAATAATAAACCCTTCGGTATGACTGACACAAACAAACCAAGAAAAGGATTAGTGTGTCAAGTGGAAAAGGATAACAAAGGAATCTACTCACCCTTTCATAACCATCCAAATAAGATGTGCCACCCTTCAAAAATGTTTGCATAAGAATCCACACATTCTAAGATGTTAACAAAGTCATCGCCCAGTGAACTCAACTCAAGCACATACACACCGAAACGAGGAAAATGTTATTTTTGACAGTAGGGAAGTAAAGTAGAAACTGTTGTAAAATAGGATAGGATAGGACTGAAACGACTTCATTTATTCTACGTGGACCGCATGGGGAGTTTATGATATTGTTTGTGATATCGGTTTCTCTATCATATGAAGTATATAAAATATTGAGTCCTCCGTAATTTTATAGGTCATATATAGATACTGGAATAATTGAAATAACAATCGAAATATGGTCGTTATGACCATTTGATTTTTGACAAATTGAATTCCAAAAAGGTAAAGTAATTTCTAAGAATTCCTATAAGAATGATTCCTATACAATCATTCGCATATTTTAAAAGTTACGTTAAAGAACCCGAAATACAAGACTAGTCCACGTATAACAAAAGAAAAACGATTTTGTTTTTTATGCGTGTGCATGTAAAAGAGATCACAGCCCTTGAATGGTAAAAGACATACAGACGGATTTAAAAATACGCTGAGTCGAAAAAGCATCACTTTTATGTTATAGAACATTTTCAGTCATCCATTTCCTATAAGAAACATTGATATGCATAAATCGAATGATTACAGTATATACAAAAAATATATATGCATTTGAATATTCTTCTTATAGATACTGAATGAATATTTTGCAAGTTTTATGAACAAGTTATATTTGTATTAAAATTTACCTCACATGGTAAATTCGGTCCGTTGAATGAGTTGTATCTCCCTAATGTACATGGTTCAGATTGGTCAATCGCACTACCAATAAATTTAATTGTATTGTTTCAAATGAAAAATTTGCTATTTTATTTTTGGTCCCCAAGATTTAATATTTTATCACCTTGACCTAAACACCGACAAATGTGTGGTACTGCTCTTTTGGGAGTACCCCGAAACATGAACCAATATTTTTTTTGTAAGTAGATTTTCAACCCAATGAGAAGGCAATTGTTCACATTGGAGCCAATTCATGTGAATAAATGTGTATAGTAACACAAAACACGAAATTTGGGAATATCCTAAAAAGGGATCCAATATTAAAAATGTTGGTAGGAAGATTTGCTACACCATGTGTAAACATATTACCATATTACAGCCAATTACGGACAAATACCGAATAAAGAGTACCGTTATAAGGAGGCTTTACTAAAATGTAAGACGTTTTTTGCATGGTGGGATCCCTAAATACCAGTCAATTATGTTGAAAAACGTTCCCAAAAGCATCAAATTATCGGTGATATAAAGTTCATATTTGCTCAGATTTTGAGTTTTCTTGGATTTAGATAATTTTCATAAAATATGCCTCACTTCATTTTTTCATGATATAGTATGAAA